ATAATAATGTATCTGAAGTGCTCTGAACACACTAAAGCACACACACACACACACACACACACACACACACACATATACTGTATATTCATATCATATCCATTGCCTAATAACATAATGTTATTATACTACTATATTTTGGATATTTACTGTATATTTTAATTGCTTTTCTTCCATTCCTGTTGAACAGGGCCCAAATTTTGTATATCTGGCTTTCCCATGCCAAATAATGCAATAACCAACTTTCCTGCAAGAATCCTAGTACTCTTTGCATACCAACATTAAATTAAAAATGTTCATTTTTCAGTGTTAACAATCTCAGGATAACCCCCAAACTGAGGACTGATGAGCTCACCCAAGCTTTGGGTGATTTTGTATAATTTAAGCTTTCACATCCGTGCCATTGAGCATGTTTTTATTGTGGTGCATGAAAAGGTTGCCGCTTCAAGGGACTGTGTTGCACTGAACTTCTGCTCTTCCAGCATAAAACATGGCAACATTCCACTTGGTCCTTCATCCAGCCACTAATAATTCAGTGCCTGCATAACTTCAAAAAGGTGGCTGCGTTATGACCCCTGAAGCCATGCCTTGCCTCTCTCTCATTCTCAGGCTCCATCTATATACTATGAGAGTGATCAGTACTGTAGAAGAGTTTTCTAGACAGTCCTTTGGTAAGATGACATTTCTAAGATGACTTTCTCTTTGACCTGTGTCACCATGGCAAGCCCATTCAAGATGAGTTAGCAGGGCCCAAGGGGTGGCCACCATCTTCATTTCTTCAGTATATCTCAGAACTTGTAATGCCTAGGGTTCCCTCCCCCCCCCCCAAGAAATAATGAAACTGTGTTTAAAGGCTGCTGGCAATCAACCTCAGCCATTATTGACAATGCAGGACTGTTGGTCTCAGGCTTTGTCCACTATGCTGAGGGCTGGTGAGGCTGGGTTTGAATCTTGTGACCTTGTGGCCACCAACACCACAGTGATCTAGTCAAGTTCTAGGCACTCAGAGCAGCAAGGCATTTTAAGACAGGTTAAATAGCCTTTCTTCTGTGTCTCTCTTTCATTACCTCCTCCCTGCCACATTCAATCTTTCCTTCTCTACTCTCTGCTACTCCCATCTTTTCCTCTTGACTGGGGATTTCAGTTATTTCATGACTATTTTTTCATGGTGCACAGCCATGAATCATGACTGAATGGGCAACCTTAATGGAAAAAGTAGCAAGGACTGTGTTAAAAGGAACAAATCAATTTCCTTGAGAGGTACTGATTTCACTCCTGGATGTTTTCAGGCGCAGATGGGATGAATGGATGGATGGATGGATGGATGGATGGATGGAT